GTGTGTGTGTGTGTGTGTGTGTGTGTGTGTGTGTGTGTGTGTATATATATATATATATATATATATAACGCCATACCTTGCATCCATTTCAAAATTGTGGCGTGCGTCTGTTTAAGCTGAGACAGCAATTTGAGGTCCAAAGTACGCGTATTCGTCAGAGCCTGTGATGATTTGAGGACAATCTTATTTAGAAACTTAAAAAATCCTTGCGTAAATTTTTTTAACTTAGATTTCCAGGGTTTTATCCGGCCCATAGTGAATATATTCAATTTCTTGATCTCCAAACCCATTCAGTCCTGCACGAGCAAAATACTGTTTTTATGTATTATAAATTATGTATACGTATGTACTTATACACTCACCTTGATTTCCAGTGCGACCGTTTTCTCCACTGCTTTATCAGACAACTGCCCCATCGCATCACCACTCCTGAGTAATACTTGATGGACTTTGAAAGCCAAATCTCTCAGTTCGGCCGCTGGAAGCACTTCGGTGTTGCTTATAGACTTGACCAAGCGGAGGTACTCGTTAACGACTGATGGGACAGGAGAGTGGATCAATATTTGGGTGGACAGGTATATCCATATATCCCAAACAGGTGCATACGTATGGATGAAACTAAAAACAGTTAAGAGAAGACATAACGAAAATTTCCGTTTTGACTTGACTGGAAAGACCAGAGTAAATCATTACAAGCCCGTAAACCATGATAAATACATTTTCAATACATATACACAAATGCCTACACATATTTCTATAAGTATATGGACAAACGAGATCACCTTAAGATCGTCTAAAACGTTCGCCAGGCATTTCAACGGTTCATGATACGTTCCACATCCATGTACACCAAAACAACTACTGATACACAGATATGGAACAAATACACATCGATTCATCCCAATTGAATAGTATTTGAAGCAATGTCTAGATATCACACCTTTCTGACGCTCCACTGGCGTGGGCACGTCGGACTCTTTTGGCGCGGGGAAGTCGACCACACTATTCACTAATGCGTTCCATTCTGCATCTTTGGATTCCTGTCTCTTACGTTTGGCTGCGAATAGTTTGTAGGCTGCGAATGGAATAGACAACGGCAGCAAACATTGTAAACTGTAAGATAAACTCTCTTGACAATCGAAATAAATGCATGCCCTCAAGCAACTATGTATCAACAGTATAAGGATTTTCGATATTTGTGCATATACATGTACTAAAAACAATTGTGAATACAGTTCATTTATAAATATCTATCTATATATACATG